CAGACCTCTAAGTCTTCAAATCGGGAAGCTTTCGCCATTCGATTCAGTCAGTACTCGGCTAAGGAAATGATATTCTACAACCAAAGAAAGTCAAAAAAAAAAATCTTTTTGCTAAACCAAAAAGGGTGATTTTAATGTGATGGAATACCACGCTGGTTGTTTGCTTCTGGATGATGAGCACACAAAAAATTTTTTGCTGTTACATTGCAAGTGTACCATAAAAAAGGATGGGTTTTTTTTTGCAGATTGGTAGATGTGGGCACCGAATGGCGATCATTTAGCAACGAGAATTCCAGTGCAGATCCATCACGTGTTGGTGCACCGGAAAATCCGTTTCTTGGTGGTGCTGATCTGACCACTTCCATTGCTGTTGGCCATGGTAACAGTTCGACAACTGGCCACAGGTAACAGTCATTTCTTGAAGATAGCATTTGAGGAGGGAGGGGAGGGGGGAGGGGGAGCAGTGGCATGACGCTTTGTGCTTTTATAACAGTGTTTTTAGTAAAATATTACTTCGCTTAGCTTTAACCATTAGCAACAGCACTAATCTATAACCAGATATGTTCCATTGGATGAAAATAATAGATATTTGTTATCAGTACTTTCAACTAGTCGCTTCAAAAAGAGAAGCGGTTAGTGGAAATCTTCACAGCGATAGGTTATTTGTGACTGCCGGCCCAGTATATATTGATTCGTAGACTGTTATTTTTATTAAAAATGTATATTTTATTAAAAATGATGGAATAAGAAAAATAAAAAAAGAAGGTTAGAGATGAGAATTACAAAATTTGTAAATTAATAGAATTAATGATATGAAATGTTTCGGTTCATTAAGTTGTATACATTTCTTACCATTACCACAATTGGACCTTGCCAGTACGACGATTGTGATAGTTAGAGTTAGCAGATATTAAGATTGAATATCTATTAACACTAATTTTAAATCGCGATCGGAGAAATCAGTCCTTTTTCGACGACAGTTTACTGCTAACGCATGCTAAGTTTCTTGCTCATGCGGTTATTGGTAGGGGGAAATTCGATGAATTTAACGAATCATGGAAGGACGACATCGGCGGGGCCAATTTTATACCACTATTTTTGAGGGAAAGTTGAATGCCAGAGAGGGGAATTTGAGGATTTTTTTTTTGTGAAACATATAAAAATGCCTCCTCATTTCTCTGTTTACAGTTTGGCCAATACACAGCGTAAAAATATGAGCACGGAGGATCGTCAGATGTCGCAGGGTCTTGGCGTGATCCGCGAAATGAGTGCACGCATTCACCTTCCAAAGTCTATCGAAGTAATTCTCTTAATAATTTTTTCACAAAGGTTTTGCGCGAAAATATGGTTTTTATGATTGTTGTTGTTGTTCCTGCTGCTTATTGCTATTATTATTTCTGTTTTACTATTAACTTTTCATTGTTATTATTATTATTGCTATTGCTATTATTGTTATTATTATTATTATTATTATTATTATTATTATTATTATTATTATTATTATTATTAATTGTTATCGATCGCACTCGCTGACGGACTTGACCTACTGGTAAATGATAGCTGTAACGATCAGAGTGCGGGCGGAAAGAGGCTCTCGGCCTAACTGATAAATAAAGATTTATCAGAAAGAAAATAAAAACATACTGATTGAAACTAAAACCAACCCACGACCGTTGAAGAACCGACAGCAGCTCCAAGCTGCCACCGTTCAATTTTTGTGACACAAAAAATACCACTACTTCATTTCTAATCACAGCATTACATATCACGGAGGGAGGAACTCGAGTCGGGAGACGGAACATTTGCATATCACATGAAATCGAAG